ATATATGTTTTCTGAAATGAAATGTGTTTGGAATTTGATGGTATCAGGCCCGTATTTTGGTTCTGGAGTTCGATACAGGTCTTATATGTGATTTAAGTTGAACCTGTAAAATTTGGTAAGAAACGGAGGTCATATGACGTGATTCGGAACCTTAGTTGTAAAATTTGAAACTTTGGAAGTTTTTGAGATTTTCTTTGATTTTGATGCTAAATTCATAATTGTTGATGTTATTTTGGTGATTTGATTGCACGAGCAAGTCTGTATGATGTTTTTGGTTTAGTGTGCATGTTTGGTTTGGAGCCCCGAGGGCTCGGGTGAGTTTTGGATAGGCCACTGAGTGAAATTTGGACTTAAGAAGTTGCAGGTTTTTAGCTGGTATGTTGCAGGTCTGCAGCCTGGCTCGCAAATGCGAGCCCGCAAATGCGAGCCCGCAAATGCGAACGTTCATCGCAAATGCGAAGAAGACCTGGTCTGCCTTGGGGTTGCAAATGCGACGTAGTCATCGCAAAAGCGATATCACAAATGTGCAGGGCCCATCGCATTTGCGAAGTGGCCTGGAATCCTTCAGTGTCGCAAATGCAACAATCCCATTGCAAAAGCGAGTTCGCAATTGCGAACATTAATCAAAAATGCGATGATAGCAGTCTTCTGAAGGGTCTGCGACCTACAAATTCATAACTTAGCCGAAAATCTTTCATTTTTCAAACCCTTTCAAAACCAAAACACTCTTGGGCGATTTTTCAAAGACAAGTACTCTTCCAAATCGATTGTAAGTCATTTCTAACTTATTTTTATTAATCTTTAACATCTTTTCTCATGATTTCAACTAAAAATCAAAGGTTTTTATGGGAGAAATTGGGTGTTTTGTGTAGAACCTAGGTTTTTTTAATTTTTGGGATTTGAACCTCGATTTGAGGTCCGATTTCAAAACAAATTATATATTTGTGTTCGTGGAGGAATGGGTAATCAGGTTTTGGGTTGAACCTCGGGTTTTGACCATGTGGGTCCGGGAGCGATTTTTGACTTTTTGGGAAAAACTTTAGAAAACCTATTTTCATGCATTGGAATTGATTTATTCAGCTTTTATTGATATAGTTAAGTAACTTGTGGCTAGATACGAGCGAATTAGTGTTGGAATCAAGAGGTAAAGCGATAGTTGAGACTTGAATTGTGTTCATGGCATCGAGGTAAGTGTTTGATCTAACCTTAGCTTAAGGGATTAGGAGTTGTGTCCTATTTGCTATGTGTTATTTGTTGAGTACGACGTATAGACATGGTGATGAGTATCTATACGTTGGTATCAAGCATGCCCGAGTCTTATATTATGATTTTATGACCCCGTTTGTATTGTTCATGCCTTATGTGATGATTTCTATTGTTGAGCAAAGCGTGTGGAAGTAGTATTGGTAATTGAATATTGAGGAGTGTTGGCTCAAGTTGTAAAACGAATTGTGGAAGTAAAATCGGTAATTGGACCTTATGGATCATTGGCTCAAGTTGTGTAGTGAGTCGTGAAGTAAATATGAAAAAGAGAAGAAGATTATTATATTGTCTTCTTTGCCGGGATGTTGTTGCTTATAATGCTATCTCCCTTGTCGGAATGTTGATATTTTGATATTGTTCCCTTGCCGGAATTTGATTGTTGTACTATTGCTCCCTTGCTGGGATTTTATTATGATTTCATTTATTTTCTTGCCTTTATTTCTTGTGATTGTTGTTTGGGTGAGGAAGAGTGTTAAAGCACGAAGGATGATGCCGTGCATTATTTTGGTGAGAGAGTGTTAAAGCACGAAGAGTGATGCCGTGTATGATTTTGTGAGAAAAAGTGTAAAAGCACGAAGGGTGATGCCGTTCCACACGATGTATAATTCCGTGCTGATTATATTGATTTTATGGTGAGGACGAGAGTAAAAGCACGAATGGTGATGCCGTGCAGATTATATTGATTCTTATAGCGAAGACGAGAGTAAAAGCACGAAGAGTGATGCCGTGCACTTGTTTGATTTCTGATTATTGTTGATAATTGAGTTATCCTGTTCCTTATATTTACTTGTTGTCCTTCTATTATCATTTGATGTTTCCCCGCAACATGTTTCCCCCTCCCATCCTTAACTATACTTTCCTGCTTTTACTTTTCATCGTATATGATTTAACTGCACAGGTTTATTTTGATAGTCTCGTCCTAGCCTCGTCACTACTTCGCCTAGGTTAGGACAGACACTTACTAGCATACGGGATTGGTTGTGCTGATACTACACTCTGCATTGTGTGTAGATTCCGGGACTGGAACATACGAACCATAGCTTTGGGTTGCTGCTTTCAGTCCTTTCGGAGATCCAAGGTAGTCCTGCAGGCGTCCGCATGCCCTGGCGTCTCTCTCTATCCTTTCATCTTTTTTCATTTACATATTTCAGAAACAATGTTGTATTTATTTTTCAGACCTTGTTTGTAGTATTCCTAGACCGTCTGTGAAGATGTGACACCACTTTTGGGTAGTCCTTGTTTAAGAAATTGTATTGGAAATATTTAAATGGTTTTATTTGTTTCTTTTTCTTGTTTAAATTTCGCTGTTTATAAACTGTTGGTTCATAATTGTTAAAGGATTAAAAATGGGAAAAAGGTAAATTGTTCAAATAGTTGGCTTGCCTAGCTTTCACTAGTAGGCGCCATCACGACTCCCGATGGTGGAAAATCCGGGTCGTGACACACTTAAATTATGATAGCAAATAGAATGAGACAAGGCAAAGAATATACATGAATCACTTCCCTACTTTGTATTTAACTCGTGCCACAACACAAAAATCACAGCCTTACAAAAAGGAGTTAAGTCAGCCAACACTTTCTGCCTTAACAAGTCTGCATGTCCCACATATATAGAAAAACGTTTTTGGCCTTAGCCTTATCTAAACCTAGCAGTTGACATCCCCAACTAACAAGAAATTCAAATTTCAAACATTCAAACAAGATAACTCCCACAACCCCACTTAGCCACATTGCCGAAAAACAGGAACTGCCCAGCATGTGCCTGGCACATGGGCGCAACCTTCAAATTTTGGCGCCAAAGGCCAATTCTGCCATGTCTTCGAGCCAAGGTTTCGTGTAGCATGCCTTTGCACGCATGCCTTGCCAGTACCGCTTGTCCAGCTCGCCCATGACACTGCCTTGTCCGCGCCCATCCGCCTTGCCACGCCCAGCTTTAGGTTTTTTAGTCTTTGCTAAGCTTGCTGCCCGTTGTCTTTGCCTTGCCATGGCCACGCCAATGCCATGGTATTTTCATGTCTTCACACCTTAGCCACATGCCGTCGTGTCACAGTCCGTGCCCATCAACACCTGCTCATGTCGGACAACTTTGTCAACATGATGCCGCAATTATCATGGGGCAGTGCCGAGGTTCATCATGTAAATCCCTCGCCACAGCCATGCCATGTTCGATCAATCAAGCCGAGGGGCTAACAGATGTCCACTTTAACATTTGTTTTATGTTTTGTTAACGCATTTAAGATAAAAAAACTAATTTTTAAAATATTATTTCGTTTAATGTTTCAAAAAATGATTTCTTTATGTTATCTTGAATTTTGTTGAGATCACGCCTGTTCATGGATCGGATCAGATCGAATTTGACAGATTTTGGATTTCGAATTTTGTAAATTGTAATCCGAATCCGAACCAGATTAAACTCGGATCAGATCAGATCAGATTTTGATATTTGGATCAGATAAATATTTCAGATTTCGGTTCAGATTGTATGCCTTATTAAGATGCTAAAATAAATAATTTTAATATGCTATCTCCTACCATTTATAGTAGCAAAACTCATTCATTTCCATATCTTTTATTTTTAATATTGAAATGAAAGAAAAGGCAAAAAAGCAAGAGAAATAACAAAGAAACCTTAGAATTTTCAAAAGAGCACCCCTCACTTTTATATGTAAAATATAAATTTTGGGTTCGGATCGCTTTGGATGTAAATTGAGCCAAATCATATCCGATCCGATATGTAAAATAATTAAATTAAAGATCTGAAATCCAATCCAAACCAATCCGAATAATACAGATCTGTCGGATTTTCGGGTTAACCCAATTAATGCACAGCCCTAGTCGAGATGCATTCCATAATAGAAATAGAAATAGAAATAGAATAGAATAGCTAAGATAGTCTGTTAGGTCAAATTAAGGCACCAGGTATCGGTTACGACTCGATCAGAAACCAGGCCGTGGCACTTCATTCATGACTTAAAAGTAATATTATAGCAAATCATATAAAATCATCATTTGTCAAAGTGAATGAGACAAAAACAGAAAAGAACCTTATACATTTTGCAGTTCAGGAAAAAATAATATAAGACCTTCTTGAAGCTTTTGCTGGTATTGTCGCATATCCCATCAATTTTATGCTCAAGTAAATTCTTCTATGCTAGGTGATGGATAGGTTGAGAAGAGGAAGAGTGTGGATGTATCATGTGTTATAATTTTAATTGCCCACCATTATTTTTAAAATTGTTGAAACCGTTTCATTATCGGAATATGGGAAGACAGAAGGATGAAATGAATTGTAACTGATATGAAACTATGCCGGAATTTTTAAGAGGTGTCTTTTGGGCAGAAAAATTAAGAGGTGGCTTCATTACCAAATACCAAAAGATAAGCAAGAAAAACACTACATATTTTCTGGGAAAATAGTTTTCAATTTTCGTTAAATACATTTCCACCGTACCAAAAGATGACGGCGCATATTTCTCCTCAGTTCCAGAACCGGAGTAAAGATCAGGGAGGAACTAGTGAAAAACCCTAGGAGTGATGAAGAAGCAGAAAGTAATGGAGGCAGTCACCGGAGATGACGGAACCCTAGACCGAATCAGCGATTTGCCGGACTCACTCCTCGTTCGAATTCTCTCTCTCTCTTGCCGACGACGCAGGATGCTTGCAGAACGTGTCTTGTCTCCAAACGGTGGCAGTATCTCTGGACTTCTATTGATAACCTCACTTTTCTTTCAAGATCTTTGTATAGTGAAAATGAAAACTTTGTATCCTTTGTAAACTATGTATTTTCTCAACGTGCCTCTTCGAAAATCAGAAAATTCCATCTCAGAATGTTGGACCTGCCTAGTAAGGACTTGCATATCAGAAAATGGCTTAGTTTTATTCTAGAAAACAAAGTGGAACATGTTGTATTGCACTCAGTTTTTCGTGACATGTACACATTGCCTCAACTGTTCTACACTTGCTCCTCATTGATAACGTTTGATTTGTCTAACTGTGCATTTGAGAAAGGAGCAGTTATATCGTGGAAATCTCTCAAGACACTGAAGTTTGACACGGTGGTCTTAGACGATGAAACTAGTGTGAAATTACTATCAGGTTGTCCTGCTTTGGAGACTATGGAGCTGACTTCTTGCTATAGTTTTCGTCATTTGGAAATTAACAATTCAAATTTAAAGAGATTAAAGTTGGAAGGAGTTTTGCCGATGAATGAAGGAGGTGAGCGTTCATTTGAAATTATTGCACCTTATCTTCAGCAGTTGGAGATTATAGGAGGTATCCATGATATTAAATGTAGGCTAGTAAATGTATCTTCCTTGGTCAGTGCTCCCCTTAATTTTTTTATTGCATGTGTGAGTCAGCTCGATAGTACTTTTGTATATGTTGAGATGACAGTTGTCATGATCATCATCAAGTTTTTTGGACCCTCATCCAAGATTATCTTCAAAAAGTGAGTCATGTAATGGAGCTAACAATTGCGACTTGGTTTGCAGAGGTTTGTTATTGACTCAAAATTACTTTAGTTGCTCCGTTTTATTGTTAGCAAACAGTTGCAGAATGCAATATAATTTACTAATTGACAACTTCCGTTCACACCAAAAACTTCTGCAAAAAAGAATATTTGAAAAATAAATCCTCTGTTTATCTTTTTTATTTTTGCAATTCTTCTTTTAATTTTGAAGTCAGATATTTCTTTTCTTATACCGGCAAAAGATAAGCTTGGGTCGTATCATTTTGTACAACGCTGTCGCTTAAAGTGTTTAGGTATTGACCTTTGTCATAGAACTATCTATCTGATGTGAATGGCCTTTTCTTTTCATTGTTTTCTCTTTCTCCGTTCTTTACTAGTTTCACTGGGATTACTGCACCAGGTCCTTTTCATGCCGCAGCTCGACGAAGTGCTGCTTCCAGAATTGAAATGCAAATGTCTCACGCTAAAGTTGCACATAACAAAGTATAATTTATTGGGAGTAGCTAGCCTTTTGCAGGCCTCGCCTCACATGGAGACACTCAACATAGACATGGAATCTGGCGTAAGTTCCTACATCTTTTGCTCTTCTTGGACATCTATTCATCTTTGACGTTTTAACACTCCCTATACTGAAAATTTTCAAGAGGAGAATGCAAATGCATCTTTAGTTATCAATAGAATATTTTGTTACTATAAAGTTTCACATTGATGTGCATATATTGATTTCAAGTTTTTTCTCCATCTTGGCAATTGAGTTCTATTCCTGCGTTGAGTTGCAGAAAGGTCGAATATTTACTTTCCGGAAAAGTTTCATATGATGTGGTCAAGACTTTTTATTTTCTCCATGATAAAATGATGCTTTGAAAGGAAACCAATAGCTGACAAACTCAACCTCTTTCATTCTTTGCTTGGTTTACCTTCTCCACGAGTCTTCTAGATAGGAATATGCTATCATAATTATTTGTTGAGAACCATATTCAGGGGTTTTGAAATTCGCTCTGTATGAGACACTTTTACCATGAAGCTTTTTGTTTTGTCACTTTTGTGCAATATAAGTTTCATTTAAGTGTTGGAGCCCTATTTGATCCAGATAATATTGTCACTATCCAGAATCCTTGTTTCTGCTACCGCTATGAATCAAGTTGTTTGGGCAAAGGAGATGATAATGATTTGGAGAGTTGGATTTCAAACTTTGCATTTCCCAATGTCAAGAGTGTTAAGCTTGTCTACTCCACTGGGATGTGTCATGAACCCCATGATAGGCTTTTCGAACTTTCAGAGTTTCTGCTAAAGAAAGCAATAGTTTTGGAGAAGTTCGTTATCATAGCGAAGAGAAGAAAATGCCGGAAATGTTTCCAAAATTGTGTTTCCCCATATTCATTACAATTGGCTGCCAATTTGTTAGGTTGCCCAAGGCCCTCCACCAATTTTATGATGATTTTCCATGAGTCAGATTCAAAATGAGTAGAATGCAAGTGGCTATTTTCGCGGCTCACCAGAAATGGCGCTTTATAATTTATCCTTTGATTTACTACCAATGAAACTATGGATTTTTAACTTGTCTATTTTTGTGATCTTACCCTTATGGCATGCCAGGTGTTATATATGCTTGGTGTCTCATGAAGCGTCTGTTTGTTGCATCTAGACGTTGTGTGAAACTTTCTTGCATCTTTTGGTGAACCTGTCAAGATGTGCAGATCCAAAAAACCATCTTTCTGATAATTAGGCTCATGAAATGTTGTGTTTTCCAACCTTTGTCTAATATCTTTCTGATACTATGATAATTAAAGTTATATGATTGGAGATGGTTCCTTGTTTGGGCATTTTCTTGAAGGAAAGTACTATCTGTTTACCCCGAATAATCCATAGCCATTGTGATTTACAATGTTTACTGCTTTTACTTGAGGTTAAAATCATAATAAGAGTGTTTAACTAGATCTTTCAGTTTGATCTTCTTGAAATCTTCATTCATCAGGCAGAGTTGAGTTGGATCAGGGGTTGTAGAAGCTTGTGGAACACAACTTTCTTGATAAATGCCAAGCAGAAGAGTTTCACATTGCGCCTTTTACCTCCCATGTTCCATACGAGTTAATCATTGCAAATGTTCCTAGTTAGACCTTTGAGATTCTTCTATATTCTGTTAGTTATAGGAGGTTACTTTATGAGGCCTCCGCCTAGATTTTTCTACTTTTCAAATGCATACTCTGCTTGTACTGGATCCTCCCGCTTGGAGATTAACCTTCTTGCTAGATTAACATATGTGATTTTTCCGCATAATCAACTTTCTCCAAGTAATCAACAATATTGTCTCTCTTGGCCTGTTTTCCCCCTGAAGTGTTATCCTTTCACTTTCAATTGAATTTTCTGATGCTCAATTTCATAATTTCCATCCTCATCCTCATCATTTCCTTATTCTCCTCATTTTTTCCCTGCTTTATCTTTCTGTGCCCTACTGTGTCTGTGCATTTTCATCTTATTCAGCATTGATATTCAAACATTTATGTCTTTGTTGACTAAGTTTGCAGTTGTTATGGTCATGGAAGGTCTGTTATGGTGGATTTTGAATTAAACCATCTGGAAGATCTATTACGTATAAAGGAGAATTTTGAATTTATGAAGCTCGGTATAATATTTGGTGGATTATACTTTTCTTTACTTCTTTTTGTCTGTGCTTAATCTCTTCGGTTTGATGTAACTACCACTACATTAAGATAGCTGGCGTATTCACCCGTTCTCTAGTTTCAACTGTTTTTGCTCATTCATTTTATGGTGCTGAAATTTTTCTTGCTGTCAGGTACTTCTACCTTCTGTCTTAAATTATAATTTTTTTTTTTTTTTGAGAATGGTAATATATTACTACTAGAATATAGCACTAAGATAGTGCAGTGGAATATGTTCAGTAAGTGTCTGATGAACTATAGCCATTTGCTCATATTTTAAGTCTTCAACAACATAGAAATCGGGCAAGAGTTGCTCTGTTTCCCCTTTCTTTTTTCCTCCTTTTTGAATGGAAAATGCCAGCTTCTCATGGATTAAACCAAGTCACTGGCAGTGAATTTTTCAAATAGATCCATTCTCCTTATTCACCTCCTGCAATTTCAAACCTTCACCAAGCTCTTCAAATATTAAGTTTAGACAGTGTCGTACCAAATTTTTGTATAATCGGCATCGATATTTTATAATGTGACTTTCAATGTTAAGGTTCTAAAATCATTTATGTTCTGTTGGAACTCGGACTTTATAATAAATTCACATTTAATGCCTAAAAAGCTTACGAATGAAGTTATATCTCACATCAATTGTATTCAAAGGCATTGTGACAACATGGGTGGATATATAATACAGAGCAATATGATATGTTTAGCTAGGAATGTCAAAAGTTTGTTTAAGGTTATATAACACATAAAGCACAAAGTGTAGTATTTAGAGATAAAAGTCCTTACTGATCTTTGAAATCTAAAGATAATTACAAAAAAGCATGCTGCTTTACAAATACAGACCTAGACCAATAGAAGATCGCATGCACCATGGTTGAAACGTACATACATTCCATACACTAAATCTAGGATGTTCGAAGAAAACCGTTAAACTGCATCCAACTGACAAATTGAGTCAAACCAAAAAGCCACATAGTAATTTGGTTTGATTTGGATTAGTACAAAAAAATCAACCATAATTGATTTGGTTTGGATTTTAAAAAATCAAATCAAAACCAACTCGAACCTCATTATAGTATACTAAAATTTAAAATATTTTTTGCTTAAAAGTATTATTATAATGTAATCTTAAACCTATTCATAATTTATGCCTTTTAACATATTATTTTTAGGTTTGGACTTACAATTTTGAAAGCCCATAAAGTTTGTCATAAAATTATAGATAGATGTCTAGTAACTCAAATAAGGGGGAAGTGCACGGTTAACCACTAATAACACATGTATTTACTTTTAAGTCACTGTTTAAAATGTCTTTAGTTTTTAGCCACTGCTTTAATAAACTTTAACTGCTCGGACGAAAATACCCTTCTGCTCATGTCCTTAACTTTTGAACTTACCTTCAGGACTACATGTCCTTAACTTTTGAACTTGTAATTCTAAGTTCAGGACTTCAGGACTACATGTCCTTAACTTTTGAACTTGGAACTCGAAGTTCAGGACCACGTCTTTAATTTCTGTGCTTGTAACTCTAAGTTAAGGACTACTTGTCCTTAACTTTTGAACTTGTAAGTCTAAGTTCAGGATCTATTGTCCTTAACTTTTGAGTGTTAGTCTAAGTTTAGGACCAAGTGTCCTTAACTTTTGAACTTGTAACTATAAGTTCAGGACCAAGTGTCTTTAACTTTTGAGCTTGTTAGTCTAAGTTCAGGACTTCAAGACCTATTGTCCTTAACTTTTGAACTTGTAACTGTAAGTTCAAGACCTATTGTCCTTAACTTTTGAGCTTGTTAGTCTAAGTTCAGGACCAAGTGTCCTTAACTTTTGAACTTGTAACTCTAAGTTCAGGACCAAGTGTCCTTAACTTAGAGTGACAAGCACAGAAATTAAGGACAGATAATCCTTAATTTAGAGTTACAAGCATAGAAATTAAGGATAGGTAGTCCTGAACTATTACATGTTGATCCTTAATTGTTGCCAAAAGCATAAGTTTACAGCAGAGACCATAGTTCATGTAAAAACATGCTTAGATTTTGAATGCAAGATGTCTTCAACAAGCAAATAAATGTGGACTTTTTAGTGACGAACCAGTTTAGTATTTCACCAGTAAGTTTGTTGTTTGAGAGATCTAGCATAGACAATCTGGATTGGTTCTTGAGGAAGATGAGATTCTGCAGATTGCATGATCCCAACATTAAACTGTTCAACTGGGGAGCAAGGAAAGTTCTGATTCACTTATATTTGTGTCAACTGATTAACTGTTATAGGATTTGAGACAGAGAAGCGAGGAATTGGGAAGAAAAGCAATGGAAGAAAGGGTAAAAATGTCTTTTCATATTAATTTTAATAGAGCAGTGGCTATTTTTGCTCAACATTAAAATTGTTGGATAAAAAATAAATACTACCTTAAATAGTGGCTACCCCATGCCATTTTTACCTCAAATAAAGCTCGAATCAAACTATGTTCGTTTTCATTATCTTTTATTAAGAATACTTATTTATGTGTTTTCATTATCTTTATTGTTGGTGATACTACATTTTAGCATAATGATATCATTATGACTCATCTCACATTTGTGTATTATATTCTTGAGAATCATATAACTGTTGTATCTTGCTGGGATTGAGAAAATATTTGTATTATTTTCTTGGGAAGGACCATATAATTGTTGTATCTTACCAAGACTTAGAAATATTTCGAAGTTAGTTATACGTTGTGTTATGGAGGCCATATCGAAAAAAATGGAACCAAATGGAAATAATCAAGAAAAATCGAGACAAAAAAGTCAATTTTTATTGGTTTGGTTTTATTTATAGAATTAAAAACTGACATAGTTGGTTTGGTAAATAAAAAAAGTCGAACCAAACCGGCATAACCCTAACTAAAATAATGAATTGAATTTTTTAAATTAAAAATTGATATAATATAAATACTAGGTGCAAATAAATTTTTACACGTCGCTTGCACCTCAGAAAATTTGCAAAACTAGACGTACCCATTTCAAAATAAATATAAAACTATGAATACTAAATTAAACTAGTGAATGGAAAAGGAGGAATGTTCTACACCTATTACTCGGGACTTTTACAATGATTTTATACAAGGATTCTACTTATCTCATTAATAAACTTTTTAATGAATCATAATATCTCGATTACTAGAGGGTTTTTTGTTAAATCCTGGCTCATCCAATATGGAGATGTTCTTTAGCCTTGCAATTATAAACATCCCACCCAAACTGCGTTTATTTAAGGAAGTACCATGTTCAAAATTTCTAGGTGCAGTTGATCAAATCTGGACCGTTTATTATCCTAATCGTAGCCGTATGAGATCATGTCATCTCAGCCACCTCAAATCAATGACTCATATTTATCTTCTTTAAATCATCTTAAACGCTCGTTTCTTAAACAAAAATTGCAGATCAGTGAGGACCTCTAGGAGTTCCACAGTGCTAATGGAGACGGTCACCGGTGACGACGGAACCCTTGAACGAATGAGCCAGTTGCCGGAGTCACTACTCGTTCGAATTCTCTCTCTTTTGCCGACGACGAAGGAAGCTTTCCGAACATGTCTTGTCTCAAAACGGTGGCAGCAACTTTGGACTTGTGTTGATAATCTCACTTAGTTTGTGAAAGTTGAAAGATACCAGAAAAAATAAAATTCATATGCTTCGCAGAGTATGCATTTTCTCAACGTACTTGTTCCAAAATCAGAAAATTCCATCTCGAATTATGGCGCATGCCTAGTTACAGCTCGCGTATTGAACAATGGCTTTTTAATGCTATAGAAAACAAAGTGGAACATGTTGTATTGAATTTAATGTATGGGTCAAAATCAAACCAAGGAAATCTGGCACAAGGATAGATTACTAAGAGGGCGATTAGGCCGAGGTCGTACACAAGATTGAAGGAATCTACTGGCGAGCTATATTTTAGGTTAATATGATAAGAACTCTTATGAAAGTTGACTCTCTAGTAAAATACAAATATTGCCTTTCCATAGAGATTCTATTTGCTGTTTATCCCACATTTCTCGCACATTCTCGCATCAGATGCGCGAGAAAGTTCCTTATATTCTCATATCCATTTGTCTTACATCATTGTCAGAAAGAGGAATCACCCACCTCATTCAATATTGAGTGAATCATTATCTCCATTTACATTTAGTGTCATTTAATGTATTTATTGCTTATCATTATCCCCTACTCACTCATAACAACATCATTTAATACCCTTTGTATTAAATTGGTTTTAATGCAATCCCACTTTATTTGTACAAGCACGTTCCAGATTTGGAATTTATTATATTTAACTAGGATTTATCTATTATCTTCTTATTTAATTAGTTTAACATATGGTTTCACACTTTTTGGTCAAACAATTTGCCGCCGTCTGTGGAGATTTTCTCATCTGTGGATTTTTTTAGTTTTTTCTAGATCTAAAAAAAACAATGCAAAAACCCTATTATTTCCTTGTGTGCGCAAATCTAACATGGCAGGCAACAAAGAGGAAAAGAGGAAAGCGATAGCTGACCTCACCACCAACCTCCTCCACACCATCAACGAAGTAAATGAAACGGAGGGCGAGGATATAACACCAAACACCTCTCCTAGGCGAAACAGCTCGCCCTTCCTCATGGTAGCATCACGACCTTGCACGGTAAAGGGGCCTCTTCATCCACAATAGAAAAGGCACCACCGGCAGTAAAAAAAGCTGCTCGAGGCGTGGTTGACAAACATGCTAACCAGCTTCCTCATCGAGCCCGCTCAAAGGCCGAACCGAGAGGAGGCAAGGGTTTTCGTTGCATCAGCAGTTGACGAGCAACATGCCCCCCAGTAACAGGTATTACTCACAATGTTAGTGATGCAGGTAACGACACCCTCACGGCCATTCTGAGGAAAATGGAGGAGATGAAGAACGAGAACAAACTGCTCCGCGACCAAATAAAAGAGTATCAAGAAAGGGCAGACAAAATACTGGGTGCCCCAAAACTCCTACCAAAAAGGGACGCCAGTCGGTTTATTGAGCAGCCAAACAATGACGAAGCTGCACCACACGCAATACCAAAACCTTTAAAATGTCGTCGTACCTGAAAATATACAACAGCACAACTGACCTTGAAGATCATGTGACCCACTACGTCACCGTAGTAAAAGGCGACGACCTTGCCAAAGAGCAGATATCCTCAATCTTACTAAAGAAGTTCGGCGAAACCCTCACAGGGGGCGGGTTGACTTGGTATTCACAGCTGTCCGCACGCTCAATTGAAACATTAGAAGAAATGGCCGACAAGTTCGTTACAGCCCATGCCGGAGCAAAAAAGGAGGAGGCAAGGGTAAATGACATAGTTGCCATCAAACAATCACCTGGAGAGGGACAAAGTGACTTCCTTGCTCGATTTGACCGAGTAAGAATGACCCTACCAAACGTATCAGAAGGAATGGTCGTGGCAGCCTTTCAAAACAGGCTGAACAGAAGTGGTTCGAGGGCGACCAGAAAGCTGCTAAGCCGCCTCATGAAGTATTCCCCGACCACTTGGGATGAAATACACAATGCCTATTGCGCCGAAGTGCGAGCCGACGAAGATGACCTGAATAGTCCAACACAACGGTTAACTTTCGTACAAGCCGAGTCCAAAAAGGACTGGAGAAATGACAACAGAAGAGATCCGGCAGGACCACGGGCTGATGTACATCAGAGGCACCCTCATGCCACCCTCTCGCCATGACAAAGGCCCATCCAGGCCACGAACAGGAACTCACCAAAGTGAGAATAGTATGCCCCCTTATTATCTGCTCACAATTTTTGTGTTTCCCCATCAGAAATAGTTTACGCACTGGAGAAACTCGGCCCAAAAGTGAAGTGGCTGTACAAGATGAGATCCGACCCGAGCACTAGAAAGTCAAATTCCCTCTGTGAGTTCCACCAGGAGCGGGGTCACAAAACTGGGGACTGTATCGCCCTAAGACAAGAGATCGTGAACATGCTTTACCAAGGGCACTTGAAAGAGCTGATGAGCGATCAGGGAAGAGCCAACTTCGCCCGAGGACGTGAACAGCACCAGGGACCGCCCAAGCCACCTTCCCTAGTTTGAACCATTCAAATGATCATCAGAGGGGGCGATGACGCGTCAATCAACATTGTGAAATTCACCACCACCCATAAACTCAAACGGTCAATCACTCATGAACGGTATGACGAACTCGAAGAAAGTATCATCTTCGATAAGTTGGATACCCAAGGTTTGATTTTTCCTTACTACGATGCTATTGTCATTACTTTACGTATCTTGGATACTGATGTAAAATGTATTATATTCGATGACGGGAGTGGCGCGTGCATCATCCACCCTCGAGTTCTCACCCAAATAAAGCTCGAAGACAGGATAGTGGCACACTGCATCACACTAATGGGTTTTAACAATGCAGTTGAGCGAACGTCTGGAGAAATCACACTGCCTATCCTAGTTGGCGACGTCACTTTGGAGACCACACTCCACATCATGGACCAGGATACGACATACAATTCCATCATAGGTCGACCTTGGATACACGCCATAAAAGTCGTCCTCTCCAGCTTATATCAAGTCATCAAGTTTCCCACCCCCTAGGGAGTATTCAGCATCCGAGGAGAGAAACGCACTGCCCGAGAATGCTACCGCATCACCCAAGACTACACATACACCCAACAATTGAAAGGCAAAGACGAGGAGGCATAACAATTAATGAAGTCGGGGTCAGATGGTGATGAAGTAAAGACGTCATCAGAGACCCTGAAATCGAAGAAGCCGCAGGGTCAACCATAGAGGATCTCAACCCCGTCCAACTCGATGATAACGACCACATCAAGAAAACTTTCATCGGCCACAATCTCCAAGAACCAGGTAAATTTTGCCAGTTGTTGAAAAATAACGTAGACTGATAACTAGGGATTATGATTCATTTTACACTCCTTCTTGCTTAAGTTTTGATTAGAAATATGTACAAAATAGTCCCAAAGGCTCACTGTTTTACTTGATTGCAGGTTTAATCAACAAGGAGACAAGGTGTCAAAAACCAGCTAAAAAAGGAGTGAAACTTGCACAAGTATCAAGACCAAGCTTAGTCAAACAGGCCAGTGCAGCTACACACCATTTTGTGCGGTCCGCAAAGATGAAGATCAAAGAGTATGCTTCTCAATCAGACAGGCAATGCGGCCACAAAGGATTTTGTGCGGACTGCATTGATATCATTACGGCCGCACTCGATTTCGTGCGGTCCGCAGAGCTCAAGTTCAGAGAGGTGACATTTTGGAGGAACCTAGCCAATACGGTCCACTGTCCATTTTATGCGGACCGCAATAGGAGACACCACATCCGCGGTGTATTTTGTGCGGTCCGCGATAGCCAACTTCAGAGAGCAGAATAGTCAAGCCAAGAGCCTTAGTGCGACCGCAATCGATTTTGTGCGGTCTGCACTAGACCCGTAGGGGTATTTTTGTCCAGAATTTTTAGCATAGTATAAATAGTTTCTTTTCCCATTTTTAGGTCATGAGATAGATTTTGGGGACAGAGCTGCACTCGTGAACTCCTCTCTTTTACCATTTTGAGTAATTTTAGCTTAGTTTCAACATTGAATCTTCAAGTTTTATCTAGTATTTAATTATTATGGTCTTTTCTTCATCTATTTCTTTGTTTTCTTCTATAATTATGAGTAGCTAGACCCATTTGCTAGGGTTGTGGCTCAACCCTAGTGTGAGTAATTGATGAGTCTTGTGTTTTGATGCTTCATTGTCTATGAGTGTTTGATATTTGGACTAATTTAGGGTTTTAATATTGAATTAGCGGTTGCAAACACTAGTTCATGCCTAGTAGACTTTGGCTCTTCTTGAGAAAGAGAGCCTCAGTCCATGAAATTGGTCCAACAAAGAATTGGGGCGTATTCAAGAGATTGATAGCCCCAATTAAAGGGCTAAACCTAGAGATAGTAATACCCGACTTGAATCTCAATTGCTTGCACAAATTTGCATACCCAATTGGTCTTGAGAAAGTCAATTCGGGCAAAATCACTCGAACTACCGAGAGGTATAGAGTGAGTAGAATCGTGCAATGGTTATATCATACTCCCCAAATGTGATAATCTAGTCTTAGACTTAAGAATCCGTCAATTAACCACCTAGGAGAAAGTCACTACCCTAGTGCCTTTTATCTATTTGAACAACTCTCAATAGTTTAATCTTAGCTTTACTTCGCCTAATTTAGCATTGTAGTAGTATAAAATTAGAAGTAAAATAAAAACCAACACTGTTTAGAAGTGCAATTAGGAACAAATATGCAGTACCAATTTAGATAGAAAACTCAACTCCAATATCTAGCTCCCTATGGAAATCGATCCCGACCTTCTCAGGTAAAAGCTGCTTCGACCTCTTTTGCTACTTCATAATAGTACAGGGTTGGCCTCAATCACTTTTTGGCGCCTTTGCCGGGGAGCTAACAGTTTTGGATATCTATCTAAATAGTTTTGTGTATTGTTCTTCTTTCCTTCCGTGTTATTAATTTGTGTGTGTCACAACTTCAGGTACAAAATGGCAGCAAACTTAAACAATGCACCTCTTGGAAATCTTCCGCCGGGGGAGGAGGTAGAGGACAATGTTGATGATGAGGTCCCTATTGTGACTCAAGGACAAAGGAGAGGCCGCCAGGCCAATGATAATATTCCAGACCCTCCCCCGCCACCTCCAAGAGTGGCTCCTCGAGTGCTTCCAAACCAAGGCTATGCAAGTGCAATTGTCCCGCCCCGGATTCTGGCGGGCAATTTTCAAATTACCAATATGATGCTGACATTGCTGGAGCATCATGGGTATTTCACACGCGCTACCAATCAAAATGCTTACAAACATCGTAAGGAGTTCGTGGATACCTGTTGGGGGAGCAAGCAAACTCATGTGTCCGAGGATGCACTTTGGTTGAGACTTTTACCATTCTCACTTAGAGGGAAGGCATTGGATTGGCTTGAACGACTTCCCAACCACTCCATCACTACTTGGGATGAGTTGGCAGACAAGTTCGTTGAAAAAATTTTCTCACCTAGGCATATGGCAACATTGAGAGATGAGATCTTGGCTTTCAAGCAGGAGTCCACTGAACCATTGTATGATATTTGGGAGCGCTATAGAATAATAGTAAAATAATGCCCCAACAATAATATGACTGAGGCGGTGATCCAACAAACTTTTTACCGAGGCATTAACACAACAAACCAATGCATAGTGAACCAACTTGCTGGGGGCAACTTCATGAAGCTGACTTATGATGAGGCTTGTAACATTCTTAACGAGATGGCTGACACTTCTTCTGCTTGGCAGAGTAGAGCCAATGTGCCCTAGGGTGACCTCACGATCACTCAATTGCACAAGGAGTTACATGATCATGGGCATGCTATAACTGAGTTGACAACTACAATGAACTAACTAGCAAAGGCACAGTTGCAACAAGTTTAAAATCCTCGCCAAGTGAATGCTATGGAAGGTGTCAACATGCTAGTCAACAAAAGAAGACAAAGGGGTCAACAAAACCAAGGGAATTCAGAGCAATTTGACAATGATTGTGGTGGCTTCCAAGATGATAGTTATGATGGGCAGAATGAAGAGGTGCAATACGTAAACAATTATCAAGGCCAAAGGGGCCAACCAATAATAATGGAGACCCCAAGGCAATTGGGGCAATCAACAACAACAAGGCAATGGTAATTGGGGAAACAACAACCAAAATTCCAATTGGGGAAATCAAAATAATAATCAGAATAATCAGGGTAATTGGAATGGTAACAACAACAACTGGGGTGGTAACAACAATCAAGGTGGGTGGAACAATAGCAATCAAGGAAACCAGGGGCAAGGCTTTCAAAGGCCCCCATGTACCAACAACCGAACAATCTGCCTACATTTCCATCCTAATGTCCTAGTTCTTCTAACATTGATATGGGGAGAATTGAAATGATGTTCGAACAGATGATGAAGAATAATGCGGATTTTGATGCTCAGTTGTATTCCCACAATACCTCAATTAGAAATTTGGAGGTTCAGTTAGGCCAAATCTCACAGTCCTTGAATACTCGCCCTAATGGGGCTCTACCAAGTGATACGGTAGTAAACCCGAAGGGTAGGAACAATCATGTCATGGCAGTAACTACAAGGAGTGGACGAGGCAGTGATGTGAATGCCTCCAAACAAAAGCATATTTTGAGTGATGAAGTTGAGTTGCAAGAAGATGAAGTTCCTTTGGTGGTTAAAAATGTGATTGATGAGAATGTGAATGAAGAAGTAAGGATTGATATTCAAGATGCCGAGGTGGAAACTCAAAATGACGTGAACCCGTATAGGGAACACGTAATAGACATGCCGGAGTCGGTTGTGCCTAAAGCCAATGCTCCTTTGCCAAGGCCACCTCCACCTTATCCTCAAAGGCTTGCGAAGCAGAAAAATGAGAATCAGTTTAAAAAGTTCATTGATATGATGAAGAGCTTATTTATTAATGTGCCTTTGGTGGAGGCTCTTGAACAAATACCGGCTATGCTAAATTCATGAAGGACTTGGTGATAAATAAACAATCCATGGATTGTGAAACTATAAAGATGACCCATCAAGTTAGTGCAATAGTGCATTCAATGGCCCCGAAGCTTGAAGATCCCGGTGCTTTCACCATTCCTTGCACCATTGGGAGTGCGGACTTTGCTAAGTCTCTATGTGATT